CTCCTTTAATCTCCATGGTAACCACTCAGCTGCTCCTTGGAGATGCAGTTTTCAAGCTACCGCCTCACAGAGCAGCCCTCTCCCACTCAGCTCCTCCAGACTAGCCAGCAGCAATTAGCAAACAACTGGTGGAAGTGAGCATCAGATAAGCTGCTTCTCAATTTGTGATGACTTCCTGAAGGAGCAGTTTCAAAAAGAGCAGGAGCTTTTTAAAGTGACAGTGGCCCAATTTCAAGGCGTTAAGTTACACAGATTTATTTGAAGTCATAATTGATAAATGAAGCTTTTTTCCAACAACTGAAGGTAACACTTATCTGCCTGTGCTACAAGATGGCCTAGAAAATACATAATACTGCCACTTTAAATTGTGTGTGGCGTTCTCTCAATGTTTTTGATTTGTTGTACAACAAAAAGGGTTTGGTGTAGCTATAAATAACTATTAATAGTTATTGACAAAATGAGTAATTTTGATCAAGATTACCAAGTCTGGGCACCACTTGGGTATCAGAGAAATGATAGTCAAATAGTTCTCATGTTCAGTTGTTGCTTATAAATACCTGCCTGCTAAGGCTTTGGTATTAAATAAAAATAGATGGACTAATTTCAGTTCTGATGTTCTCGAGCCGAATGCTACAGAAATAAATACAGATGACTTCTCTTCCTTTTAACTATTTATTTACAAAAGTAATTTCAACTTCCAGTTAAAATTAAAAATAATTCAAAGCTTAAATATGCTTTACCATTATCTGCTTTTATGCAGTGTGATATTTTTATTTTTTTTATTTTATTTTATTTATTTTTTTATGTCATGATTTCACACTGGCTACTTCTTGTTTAAAACCTAAAATTGTAAATACTGCAACATTTTGAATCCTCCTGCAGGTTGAAGCGCTCCGACCACCAGGTTCTGTGGGACCACCGGCTCCACTGCCGTCGGGACCACCCCAGCAGCCTGCCTAAGGTGCTGGCCAGCGCGCCCAGCTGGGACTGGGCCAGCATGGCTCACATCCACTCCCTGCTGCACCGCTGGCCCTCACTGCCCCTAGTCACTGCACTGGAGTTACTGGACTCAAAGTACGCACTGTAAAACACATTCCATACCTGCACCCTACCAAAAATAAGGTTTTTATTTTTGTTGAACAAGAAAATGTTTTATGAAAATTCAGCATTTCCATTAAAATGTGCAAAAATCTTTATCTAGATTCCACTAATGTTGGAAAATTGTGGCATTTCTATTAAATAAGAAATTAAATTGAAATCACATGAATAAGTTTGTTTACATACATCATTAAAAATCGTGGCAGTGACGGATGTAGACGGTTACATGAGATTTTTTTTCCATCATCAATCAGCCAATCAGTGTCAACAAGCCCCGCCTCCTTGTGAGCAGCTACGTAGGTGGCGTTTGGGGAAATTGTAGTTGGCAATTTTACAGAAAAGTTGTTGATTCAGCACTTTGGGATGACACAACTTTTTATGAACTGTGCAACCAGACGTCTGGTGGAGCCAGCGACACATTGTCTGAAAACAAACAAACTGCCACTTCCTGTCATCTTTGTTTTCGCCTTTATTAACATCTGGCGTTTCATCGTGAGATTCCTGCGATGTGAGAAAAGTGTTTTGATACGGCAGAAAAAAGCACCTCATCTTAGCACAAGAATATTTTCAGAAAAACGTGACTTTTTTCGAAATTGTCGTGTTTTCATTACACAAATTTATTTTCGGAATTTCCATTTTCGCAATTTTTATGGTTAATGGGAACGCTGCTCATGATTCTGCTTTCCTGGATGCAGTCAAGTTTTAATCTCTGTGGCAAACTGAAAACGTTAAATGTGTTACGTGTCCATGTAGGTTTGCAGATACTGAAGTGAGAAGTGTGGCTGTAAGCTGGATTGAGAAGAGCAGTGACGACGAACTCGCCGACTACCTGCCTCAGCTGGTTCAGGTAGAGCTCATAAAACATGCTGTACTCTACGTACGATAGAGCGACTTATGTTTTTTAACTGATTTCCTAAAGTTTTTATGCACAAATTTTAAATTAAAATGTCATATATCCTCTCCTTAAGGCAATAAAGTTTGAGTGTCACCTGAACAACGCCCTGGTCCTGTTCCTGCTATCCAGAGCCCAAGGAAACATCAACATCACCCACTACCTGTACTGGTGAGTCTGCAGAAACACCGAGTTACACCAGGTCTTAATCAGAAAGGGGTGAAGTATTCAAAAATTGTACTAAAGTAAGAGTAGCAATACTTCAACATATTTTTACTCCGGTAAGATTAAAAAGCAGCCGTCCAAGAAATAACTCGAGTGAGTGAAAAGTCTAATCCAGTACTGACAGAAACATCAGTCAAAATGACATTATCACGTTATGTGGAAATGTTGGTATTTTAGAAATCAAAATGAAAATAATTCATATAAATAAAGTAATTTTTTGAAACTAATTCTTTCAACATAAAACTTCTGAAGCTCTATCAAAAACTGCAGGCGTGTGTCTGTCTGTGGTGAATTTCTGGTTTAAACGTCTCTGCTCTTCATTCAATGAAGTTACTCACAGTGAGTAGAGGATCCAGACATTTTACTCCAGTAAGAGTAGCAGTACTTCATAATAAAACTTCTCATGTAAAAGTAAAAAGTGCAGCTCAAGTAAACTGAGTAAATGTAGGTAGTTACTTACCCAGCTCTGCTTTAATGAGGTTTACTTTGAAGCCTTTTTTGGGGATTTTCTCTGAATGGTGGATTCATGTTGATCGCTGCAGGCTACTCAAAGATGCAGTGCAGGACTCCGCCTGGGGGTGGCGCTATGAGCAGGTCCTGGGTGCCTTGCTGTGTCTTTGTGGGAGCAAACTGAGGGCAGAGCTGGAAAAGCAGACTCACCTGGCCACTCTGCTGGGAACGGTGGCCGAGAGGGTCAGACAGGCCGGGGGATCCACCAGACAGGTCAGTCTGACTTTTAGTTTGTATTCGTATTTCTTTGTGTCTTTGTGTGTTATATAGCATCAAGTTATAGGCGATTCCTTTTACTCATTGTGTTGCTGTGTGAGTTCAGGTGGCGCTGCAGGAAGGCCTGGAAAACATTCAGAACTTTTTCCAGAGAAGCAGCTGCCGACTTCCCCTGAACCCGAGTCTGGTAGCTAAGGAGCTAAACGTCAAGGTAGGTTATGAAACCACTGGCTGTTCCTCCAAAACACATTGACTATCAATGTCAGTCAGCTTAGATACTCGGCTTCACTAATTTCATCGTTGATTCACAAACATGTTCTCTTATAACACTTACTGTACACGAGTGAAGAGAGAGCAGGAAGAGGCCCTGCCCCTTTCTCAATAATTACAAAATACAATTTTTATGGAAATATACATTAAATTAACAATATTTTTAAATCAGTAGAGTATAAGACTTAATTATTTTCTCTCATAGATTGATTCATATAAATAAATATATAGAAAAGATTACATTTATTGAGCTAAACTTTTGTGCAGAGAGTTTTGTTTTATGAACATATTCATATAGTGTTGGTTAAATGGTGGATTTTTTTGTTTGTTTGTTTTTACATGTTTTCCTAAAAAATAGGAGGTGGACAAAATTTTCTGCTGGATGACCTGTAGCATAAAACTGGCATTCACTGAAATCTAAATCTCTCTTCTTCTTTGCATTGTTTTAAGACTGTGATGAAAATACTTCATCTCTTTTCTCTAATAATGTTTAACGTGTTTATCCTGCAGAAGTCATTAGAAAACGTACTTGTGCTTGTTTGCAGGCATGTTCTTTCTTCAACTCCAACGCAGTTCCCCTTAAGCTGGCATTGGTCAACGCAGATCCATTAGGAGAGGAAATCAATGTTATGTTTAAGGTCCGTTATCCGCCTACACATACACTCACACACAAACACACCAACAATGGAACATTATTACCATGCAGTCAGCTCATGGCGCCTTGGAAGCTGTTATGTTTCAGACACAGGCTTCCAGTGGTGGGCACCGCTAGCTAAAAAGCTAGCTGCGCTAACCCTAAAGCAATAATCATAAACTGTTGTTGCGCTAATGCTAAATCGCTACAACAACACAGTATTTAGTGGAAGCTAACATGCCGTTGTCAGTTCACATTATGTCTCCTTTTGAAAAAGTGAAACAGTCGAGTAGCAATTTAATTTTGATATTACAATCTATAAATATAGTGTTTAAGTTAATATCTTGTTCTAATATCTGTCTGTGTTTAATTTTGTTCGTGTGTGTTTCATGCTTGAAATAAAGTTATTGGAGGAACCAATGTGTAAACCACTTAAATATGAGAGCATGAATATAAACGGCTAGCTACTTAACCAAAGCTTTTAACACAGATCTCCAACTTTTTTCAACTAAAAGTTTATGAAACAGCCAAGCAAATTAGCTGTGTAGAATGTTTTCACAAAAACCTTTAGGGGAAGCTAAGTGCACTAAACAGTTTCAAAGTTAGCCAAAATGCTAAACAAAAAAATTAGCTTTGATATTAGCTCGTTGGCGGGGTGGAATAGTGAAATGTGCCCACCACCACAAGTTTCAGAGTGTTTTATTGCAGTTTTGTCTGATGGCTCAACACACATTGGTCCATATTTGTGAAGTGGACAAAAAATAATTAATTTACCAACAAAACTGAAATGTTTTTTGTGCATTTATATTCAAAACCCTTTCATTCTGATAAACCCAAATAAATCCATGAAAACAAAGCGCCTTCAGAAGTCCAGTTCTGTGAAGGAAAACATAAATGACCAAACAGCTTCAAGAACAACAGCAGACAAGTCAAATATAGTTTTGGAGAAATTTAAACTGGTTTAGATTTTAAACACTGCGATGTAAATGTCACCAAAGTCCTGCAGTAGTTGAAACAAACTGCTTTCCTGGCTTCTCCATTCACCTCTGCGCCCCCTGGTGGCTTAAATCAAGTCCAACAATGTTATCGTTATCAGAATGTTTTTGTTTTTGACCTCTCGTTTGCTCTGTTTATGCATCAGGTAGGAGAAGACTTGAGGCAGGACATGCTGGCTCTTCAGATGATTCGCATTATGGACCGAATCTGGCTGCAGGAGGGGCTGGACCTCCGCATCGTCAACTTCAAATGCATCTCCACCGGCCGGGATAAAGGTGATGCACGTCAGATTTCAACCAGAGCGCTCACATTTAATCTTTGAGTTCAACACTAGCTTTTCTATCTCTCTTAATTTGTTTGCACTGTGTTATCAAAACACATCTTGGTTTTATTTATTTATTTATTTATTTATTTATTTATTAAGGTATGGTGGAGCTGGTGCCTTTCTCTGACACCCTCAGAAAGATTCAGGTAGAATATGGCGTTACCGGATCCTTTAAGGACAAACCTCTGGCTGAATGGCTGCGCAAGTACAACCCTGCTGAGGATGAATATGAGAAGGTACGCACAAGAAATGCTGACAATAACTGTAGTAAGATTAAAGAAACTCTTTCCTAAACTCACTGTTGAAGTGCTGCATGCATTCATTCATTCATTAATTTATGGAAAGGAATTGTCAAACATTAGAGCTGCTTCACTTTGTTAGAGTTTGAAACTAAACTAATGATTGTTTTTCTAATACATTATTCTGACAATTAATCAGATATAAAAATTGCACATTCTGCAGGGTTTTCATTTTACCACTTATTTTAGGTAATATTAGACCAGTGGTTCTTAACCTTTTTTGAGGTACTGAACCCACCAGTTTCATATGC